AGGTCACCAAGTACATGAACAGACTGTCTGGTTCAGTTTCACCTCTCTGTATTGTTACAGATTCCACATCTGTAAAAGCACCATTCCCTTTGTGAAGATAAGTAAAACAAAGGGGAAAAAAATAAACCCAAATAATCTGGTTTTTGAATGGTTTACAGAAGGACAACAGCTCATCTTCTTTCACAGTGCTATACCTGCCTTTGAAGAGAAACACCTCACGTTCCTGCTCTGCTTTCCTTCAGGGATTGCATTTCTATAGATCTTGTGGCTTTGACATTGGAAAACAGGCACTACTTTTCCACTCAGCTTAATCTTAGTTACTAGTTTTTCTGCAGCAGCCGAACACAGCGCGACAGGGAAATGTCAGGAGGCAAAAACCAATAAGGCTGCATTTGAATCATATCTCTTCCTCGGTTCCCAGCATTAAGCCAGGCAACTTCTCCTGCCCCATGGGTTGCTTGCTACTTATTCACAAGCTGAGACAGAAAGAATGGATGGCAGCTACGTGCTGGGAAGAGATAGTGGTTGTTGTCATGCAGGAAATCCAAGAAACCAACATTATAGCCTGAGCTAGTGGTGAATAGCAATAACAAGGTCATCCAGATGAGTGACTAACCATAGGGCCAAATCCAGATCCTTCTCTCTAAATTGGGGAGATGTGGATTTAATTGGTGGGCTGGTGAATAAGGAATTGGCTGGATGGTCTCATCCAGAGGGTAGTGGTCAATAGCTTGATGTCCAAGTGGAGACCAGCTACAAGTGGTGACCCTCAGGGTTCCATACTGGAACTGTTTTAATATCTTCATCAACAATATAGACAGTGGGATCAAGTGCACCCTCAGCAAGTTTGCAGATGACACCAAACTGACTGCTGTGGTCAATAGGCCAGAGGGTTGGGATGCCATCCAGAAGGACCTGCACAAGCTGGAGAAATGGGGTCATGTGAACCTTGTGAGGTGCAACAATTCCAAGTGTAATGTCCTGCACCTGGGTAGGAGGAATCCTTGTTATCAATGCAAGCTGGGGGATGATGTGACAGAGCAGCCCTGCAGAAAGGGACCTGGGGGTACTGGTGGATGGTGAGTGGGACATGATCAAACTATGTGCACTCACAGCCCAGAGGGCCAACCATATCTTGAGCTGCATCAAAAGAAGAGTGGTCAGCAGGTCAAAGGAGTTGATCCTGCCCCTCTATTCTGTGAGAACCCCACCTGGTGCACTGTGTCCAATTCTGGAGTCCCTCAACAGAAGAGGGACATGGACCCATTGGAGAAAGTCCAGAGAAGGGCCACAAAAATTATTAGAGGTGTCACAGTTTGACTGGTGCTGGAGCACCTTTCCTACAAAGACAGGCTGAGAGAGTTGGGGTTGTTCAGCCTGGAGAGAAGAAGGCCTTAGAAGGACCTCAGAGCACCTTCTAGTACCTGAAGGTACTTCAGAAAAGCTGGAGAAGGACTTTTTGCAAGGGCATATAGTGATAGGGCAAGGGGCAATGGCCTTGACTGGATCAGGGTGGATTAGACATTAGAAAGAAGTTCTTTACAATGAGGGTGCTGAAACACTGTCACTGGTGTGGAGAGAGCTGGTGGAGGCCCCATCCCTGGGGACATTCAAGGTCAGGTTGGATGGAGCTCTAAGCAACCTGATCTAGTTAAAAAGCTCCATGTACACTGCAGGGGGGCTGGAGTAGATGACCTTGAAAGGTCCCTTCCAACCCCACACATTCTAGGATTCTGATGTTTTAGCAGACTTTCATTCAGTTCCTATTGATAAAAGCTTGATAAAGCTTCATAAGGAAAGCAGAATTGAGTCTATTGCAAGACGTGGGGGCCTGGGACCTGATTCTTTGACTATGGACCAAATTCAGGGTAATGCAGATGATGTCAGGGTGACAGGCTCTGTAAAAAAGAGCTAATATCTTTTATTCAACTGGGTGATATATATTCCAGCTGGATTATGCTCACTTTATACAAGCAAAATGCTCCTTCAGTCTTAGATGGAAACTCTGGCCTTCCCTTTGCTCCCATTTACACTGCTGCAAGTCAAAGGTAATTTCATTATAACTAATATAAACACATTACAGACAAGGCAATTACACCTGTAAGATATTGGTGTGAGCTGAACCCTTTTCTCTGACATTTCTACTAATGTTTGAAATGAAATAACCAAGTGAAATGTGGTATTTTTAAAAATGTTAAACCTGTGGATGAGGCACCTGTGTGTAAGACAGCACTAGGCATTGATAAATCTGTTAGATTTAAGGATTCATAAGTAACACTTTGAAAATACCACGGGATAAATTGTGGAAAGAGATTGCAGGTAAAACTCTCTCAGGAAAAGGGGAAAGCAAACTCTTAGTATCAAACAAGTCATGTGGGGAAAGGAGGTTTTTTTTGCCAGTGGAGGTTGTAAAGGCTTCCCAAAGGGAATAAGTCATATTTGCAAAAGAACTGCTCTGTCTGTGCTTCTTGAAGCTTGTTTTTGGCATAGCTCTGCCCCTGCCTGGTCCCTCAGGTAAATGACCCGGTGGATGAGAAAGATCAGAGTATGTGATCACCTCCACATAATTACAGAATGACTGAGGCTGGAACATACCTCTGAGATCAAGTCCAGCCTATGACCTGACACCACCACATCAGCCAGACCAGGGCACCAAGTGCCACATCCAGCCTGTCCTTGAACATCTCCAGGGATGGTGCCTCCACCACTTCTCTGGGCAGCCCATCCCAAGGTCTGAGCACCCTTTCCATGAGGAAGTGCTTCCTGATATCCAACCTAAGCCTCCCCTGGAGCAGCTTCAGGCCAGGCCCTCTTTCCTTTCCCTACTAAAAATGGGGGGGTGGAGTGAAACCATCTGTGCTTCCCAGTTCCTTCTTTACTCAGCCCCTCTAATATTTACAGACAAATTGTGACAGTGATTAATTCATCATCAAGAAAAAAACTTGGTCAGTTTGGACTTGGATTTTGTTTGAGGAGTCAAGGAACCACCCATTTTACTAGGTGCACCTCTTGGTAGTAAAATGCTATGTGAAAGAAGTGTGAAAAGGAAAAGCACATTTCAGTCCCCTGATTTCCAATCCATCATTTTTCAGATTGAGAACTTTTCTTGCAAGCTTTGTAATGGGAAAATGCTGTTCTCATAACCCTTTATCCTCCTTGTATCATATATTATTAGTGAAGAAAGACCCCACTGTTGATGTGCTGCATCAGCCCACACTGTGTTGATTTTTAGTTTAAAGAAAACATAAATTCACACCTATAGCTCTGCTTGGGTTGAGACTGAAGAGAAAGGTCTTGTGAATGAACCAAGGCAGTGGTTTAGCAATTAGAGCCCAGGATTGAAAGTCAGCAAGGTTACAGTTCTGGGGGAGATTTGCTGCTGTTTGTCCTGATGAAGTTCCTCCTAAATGAGGTGATTATTGTAGCTGTCAGGAATGAAAAGGCAGGATACATTGATTTCATCCCCACTGCAATCTCCAGGACATGCTGGTAAAGAGCAGTTGATGTGAATGGCCAATTAACAAAAAAACAATATTGGCAAGTCTGCAGTTTGAGAAAAAACTCCCTCCAGCCTGTGCATAAAGTTCCTGCCATTCAAATCACCATCCTTGAGCAAAGACATGAGCAAAACTGCCCAGAAAATCAACAAAGAACAACTTTTTTGATATAGCTGAACAGCAAACTGTAGAGCTGAGAGCCTGTGTGCAGAGGGGAAACGGAGCCGAACAGCTATATGGAACACACTTCAAGTGCTCATCCTACCTGGAGATAAAAATCACTTTACTTTGGAGTAATTATTCTGTTCTGAAAACACATTGGTTATTCAGGAATAAAGTGTCCTTTATTTCAGAATTAAAGTGCCCATGTTCTTCTTCTGCTAATGATAATAGATGTTGTCACGGATAATAAATAGAGATTCTTCCACAGTAGCTGCTGTGGAAATCTTCCACTTGTAAATAAGCCTTAGGAATACCATCCTTCCAATTACCTTGCGTTTCAAGCACACTACATATAAATGGATGCTGTTAACTTACCTACAGATTCCAGCAATTTTCATGCAATTAAAATTGCTAACGTGCAGCTTCGGGCTGAAGAAACAACTCCAGAATAGCAGCTGGGAGCAGTGTCTTAGACATGATGGAGTGAACCCAGTTCGGAAAACACAGAGCAGCTGTTAGTAGCTGACTTTTACTGCATCACTAAGGAATTCCTGCCTCTGCAATAAGAAACCTGGGTCTTGTGTGGTGCTTTTAACACCAGCTCTCACAGGACTTGACCGTAGAGGCATCGTTACCTCTCAATCTGCAAGTGGGGAAAGCAAGACTGTGGTTGTAAGGTGACTTCTATGTTGCCCAGCGAGCCAGTGAAGAGAAACCTTTTGTTTCCTCACCCTGAACACCGACACATAAACCTTTCCTTTCCTAAAAGGGACCCTGTGGGTTGAAGCAGGTGCACGGTGACGCTCCAGCAACCTCTCAGAACTCGCAGCTCTCGTAACTGAGACCTCCTTGTGCCCAGAATCCGCCCCAGGCTGAGGCAGGCAGCTCGTCTTTAGCACAAGCAGGACACGTCACCTTCAGGAGTCGCCGCGTTTTCCATTTTAAACCCTACAAACATTTAAACCCAGCCCAGGCCGGACTGCAGGCGCTGCGAGGCCACAACCCCAGGTTCTGCTCCTGCTGCACTTTCTGCAGCTTCCAGAACGAGTGACGACTTCTGGGCAACGCCTGCTGGATAAATTCTCGGCCCGTTGATCAATTTCAGCCGCATTACTGAAGAAACAGACGGCACCGTCGACCTTATTTCTGCCAGTTCCAGGCTCAGGCCGCAGCCATGAAAACTACACCTCCCAGGGAGCCGGGCGGCTCCGCCTCACAGCGACTTGATGCCTCACGCCCCGCCCTCCTCGTCTTCTATTGGCTCACAGGCC